ATATATATATATATATATATATAAATGATATTTTATCTCGATGAGTTCCAAAGTACGTACAAGAAAACCAACTTTTCCAGATAGATGAAGAGCCTCCACTCAAAATCTTTAAAATTCATTTCTTTTTCTTTGTCCCTAAAAAGCTTCTTTGTTAGGATCGCTTTGTACTAATTTCGATAGGGTGAGGGAAAGATTTTTAATATGAACTTAGAAATAATTTTTCGCATTGATTCGTTTGAGAGTAGAAGGAAGTGAATTGATAGCAAAGTATTTATTTCACGTCATTTCAGACTTTTCGCACAGCCCAGCTAGTTAAGAAAATTTTTATTTATATTCAAAACTGAACAGTGAGAGACATCTCTGTGGAGTGGTGTTGCTATGATATCCAGTTCGCTTGATCCAACACATTTGCCCACTAGATAACGTCGGATCAAGGGTCGGACTTAGAAGGGGATTTTTTAGTCAGAATTTAGTTAATCCAAGAATATCGGCAGGAACAGAAATTGTCCTCATCAAACTAATAAGAATTTTACCTCCTAAAATGGTCAATCCGTTGAAAGCGGTGTGTGCCGGGTCTTGAGAGGGAAGTCGAGTGACTTTGAGAAAATCTGTGGAGATTACTTGCGCCATACACAAAGATGGACACAACAGCTGAGAGCGCTGCCTTAGCGTCGTTTCTTATCGAGGCGTTGAAGTCGGAGTGTCAAAGGTCTTGTTCTTTGCCAATTCTGAAATATTAAGTTGAAGAGTGCAATTCACTTCATCATCCCCAATTTCACGAATTACTTGTCCGATTTATGAATGAAATGACTCCCAAGCAACATGCATTCCCATTAGTCGGTGGTCAATCCCAGAAATTTGGCTCCTTTTTGTTCCATCAAAGCAAAGTTAGTTGGAACTATCGACGATATTCTAAGCGGATCAATGATTAGCAGAAGTTGAATACAAGATGTACTTCAATTGAAAACTCTCAGAAATTGTACATTCTCTGTCATGCTTGAGAGCGTAACGCACCAACCACAGAGCAACTGCTTTTCTTCTTCCAAGAGGCCACGAAGACATCGTGGCATGTGTCAACATTCGCCTTCCCCCCCTCCCCCCCTCATGGCTTTTAACTTGAAGTTAATACGTTAAAACGTAGTCGCCACCCCCCACCACCATTACCACCAGGATCTGCACTTTTCGCTTGCATATTGAAGTGGATGCTTGCCTGCCTGCATGCCTGCATGGGTCCCCGTGTTGCCATGCTGGCTAGGGGCGTGTCCGAGGGATGTCACTCGATTAATCTTCAACACGGGGGGGGGGGGGGTTTGTTGTTTCTCCAAGAATTCCACTCTCTTCCCACAAATCTACCCTTCTCTCCTTCTCCGCATCCTCCCAACAACAACAACAGCAGCGTAAAACAAGCTGAGTTTAGGCATGTAATAAGTCATTTGATTGAAGCACGTGCCAAGCATTATATGTAAAGTGCTCCGGTTGGAAGAAACTTTTCTAATAAAATTAAACTTAATTGGTTCAATCGAATGCCTAATTGCCATTTTTCTGAATAGATCTCCATCTGTGAGGTAACCAGGCCTTATCTAACGCCTCAGATGTATAATTTAAGAGGGGTTCAAGGTTATGGGATACAATTCGAACCTCACTGCAAAGAACAATGTGAAGGTGAAAGGAAGTGAGTGAGTGCTGTTGGTATTACCACGACAGTATTTTCGCGCCAACTTATAACGAGCAATCTTTGAGTAAAGATCTTTATCAAATATACTAGTCAACCTTAAAGGCAAACGAGTTCATACAGAAAACGACAATAAAATCAATCCATTGAAACTACAAATCAGCATAGTAAAGGATGGATTGTTCAAATTGAGCTGAATAATCTACGAAGGAAGTCTTGGATTCTTAAAATAATAGAAAAATTAAAGTCGGGTAAATGATATAAAGCAGAAGAGTTTGATAACTCCCAGTTTCTCACCTAGCAGACACTCATTCATCGGGAGATTTTAAACACCAGAAAAATGCAAGTGAGTTGAATGCAAATAGTTGACCAGAAGGGTGCCTTCGATTTTTGCGCAAAAGTGTCTTCAGCACAGATCAATCTTCAGTAAATTCGCCTATTAGTAGTGGTACACAATGGAGGGTACTCATCATGAGCTTTGAAAGCTGTTTAGACGAAAATGGGGTGTGGGAGTGGGGGGGGGATGGAGGTGGGGTCATATATAAACACCGAATGAGATGAAATCCTCGATGGAATGGGAGGGTGGGAGTGCTAGAAAGTGGCGATGGCAATTTGGTAGGCAAGTGGGGCGTGTTTTGCGCTCTCCAATATTTCCATTCCCTTCCAAGCAACTTACCCAGAGAATTGTGGTGATGATTTCCCTCCACCAAAATTTGAATGAGAATGCAATGTCACCAACTTCGAGACTTGTGCCTTCCGATTTCAGTCAAATTTGAACCAATAATCTTGGAATAAAAATAGCCGGGAGATTTTTTTACATAGTCAATTATTATGTCAAACACTAAGGTCTTTCCATAACCCGGACACGCACAAGGAACAGGCGACGGAGGGGGGGGGNGAGGGGGGGTGAGGGGGGGGAGAGAAGCTGCATGCAAAATTTAAGGAGGCCGAAGTACTTTGGAGAAATTCATCAACTGTAATTGGACGAAATGATGAATTTGTTTCATTCATTTTGGCATGGTTGTAAGAAGAGGTGAATAAATTGACATGTCATGTTCCATCACGAAACCGGGGCAACCGGTGAACAAGCTCTGGCGCCCAACACTTAGTTTTTTTTAGTATTTCGACGCGAAAATTCGGTATTAAGCTCCAAGTGACAAAGACCGCTCTGGACTAAAACGCCTCATTCCAAACACGGCCAAATTGTCAAAGCACATGAGAATAGCATAGTGCATCAGTTTACTTTGAGTACAAGTGAGACTGTGTCTTGGAGTTCTGTTTTCCATAGGACAGTTTGTAAGACCTGTTGATTACTAAATAGATAGAGGAACACAATATTCTCATGAATTCAAAAATCACCTCAACTATGATTGACATCAGATCAACCTCCGTATGGCCGAATCAAGAATTCATATTGTAAACAACACAAAACATCTGACGCCTCGATCGCAATAACTGCGACTTCATAACTCCCGCCCTCCAACCCCCCCCCCCTCCACCCCCCTCCTTCTCCTCATTTACACGCCAACCAATAAAATTGCTTGAAAAGACTTTTGCCGTGACACAACGATTTCAGATGAGTCCATTGATTTTACTAATGTTATAATACCGAAACACTAATTGAGGTAAATTCAAGTCCCTTGCAGCAAAGCACATGCAACTTTTAAAGGAGCCTCAACTCTCTTGCATGGTAAATGCAAATCCTAAATATTTGAATTTTTAAATATTGAACCTCTGTGGAATAGCAGCAATATACATCCTTTCTCGAGAGAGAGAGAGAGAGAGAGAGAGAGAGAGTTGTCAATTCCGTTCTCTCGTTGTCATTTGCTGCGACAACTTTTAGGAGAGACTTTAATTTTAACCACCACAAAATCACTTTCCCACTTTGCCTCCGCTGTTGAGAAAGAATTTCACATGCCAATCAAAAATTAGACAATGTGGTATTTAAAATTTAGACCGGATAACAACTTCAGAGCTCTTCTTAATGTTCCAGTTAATCGTCAGTTTAACCAATGTTGGAAAAGCTAATTTTGAATTAATGGTAGTAGCATTCGATCAGTTTATTTAGCACTTGAGGAATAATATTGGCAGTTTTTACACCTGTTTAGCGAATCAATAAATAATCAAATCACAGACCATTGAGAAGAGATGTCAAGAGTCACCTCGATGAGTTCTTGAATTTTAATAGTTAGAGTTAAATAGTGAGTTCTGCCGTTCCCCACAATGAGTGTGCGCCAATAGGATAAGAACCTGTGAACCATCGAGATTTTTTGCCCATCATATAATTTTAATTGTCCCACGTTGCTGCAATATTCTGGCGTAAGAAATCCGGCATGAAGCGGTGAATAAAAGCCAACCCATTTTGTAATTTACGATCCTGCAATTTATAAATAAAAGATGCCAACTCTCCGAGCAGACTTCAGTCAATCACGGCGAACACGACTGATGCAAAGGGTCAATCTTGTAGCATGGGGCGTATTTCCAAAGTTGTTAATTCTTTCCAATGAAAACGATGAGAGCACCTATTTCTACGTCCTTTGTCTCCTTTCACTTCTCTGTTTCAGGTGGCATCGAATGAAAGACATAATTTTTAATTGCAACCTTTTCTTCTTTTGTCAACCACTGGAATTGCCACGCCATAGCCAGATTGTCATTCATTTGGAAAAGTACGTTTGAACAAAAGTGCGGATTTTAAACGATTGGCCTAGTGCTGAAATTGGAAGCAAATTTGAAAATACCCTTGGAATTCGTGGGGCGATTGAAGGATTCTGGTGTGAAATATAAAAATATCGGCTTCTTTTGGAGGGTGTTTTAAAATTTTGTTAATTTACAATGGAATTGCGGGAATATAGCAGCTGGGAGATCTTTGGAAGGGCGAGGGGTGGTGTGAAGGAGGGAGACAAATTCTTCTTCTGCAAATGCTGTCTGCACTCTCAAGTAATGGCAATAAAAGATCTGACAGATTTTTATTCTCCTGGTTCTGACGTACTCTTAGGACCTTAGCACGTGGTGTAGCGCCAAGCACTCAGCCAATCAGCGCGCTGATCGTGTAAAACCCCGCATGGCCATCTTGATTTACCAACATTCCGCCCTACTTCACCACCTCATCGCTCCCCAGTCGCACGTGCTCCAACTGCCGCTGCTAAGACGCGCACACAGGCGCTGATGTGTGGGACGGCATGTCGAGCAAAGTGAACGGTAGTTTGGCGAACTTACCTCATGAATTGTAGCTCATATCGCAACCACTCAGAGGGCCTGCGACCCTCACCACTGGGCTGCACCGAGGACCGCAAGTGGCACCTCTTCATACTTTCAAGCATCTTCGTTCACATCGCTGGAATTTCTACTGTTCTTCTTGTGCGCCTAATTCTATGGACCTATCACAAGATCCAATTTCCAAAATACCATAGGCATCGAGATACGTGTCGGGCTCGAAAAACGAAAAATCGCAGTCTTTCCCATCGTTCCAGTTTTGGGGAAATAGGCACTCAGTTGAAGGAATGTCTGGGCGACTCTCTCTCGGGTCAGCGAATAAGTGGCCGCACTATTCACATTGTCATCTTCATCATGAATGCAGCGGCGTTTATAATCTACTCTCTCGACGCCAACCAACTGCACTACGAGCTGTGTCGAAAGGGTCTGGAAGTGTGTGTTCCCATTTCTGATGATCCCCTTCAAAAGGTGGATCTCGTTTTCAACGTGATATTTCTTTGCTACTTCATCAGTCGATTTATTGTCTCAGATGATAGATTGTTATTTTGGTTTGAGCTTTATTCCCTTGTTGATATCTTCACCATTCCTCCTGCTCTCCTCTCACTCTACCTCCGGCGTCATTGGCTTGGTCTACGATTCGCGCGGTGCCTCGGTTTTCTCAGCTTAACAGACGTACTCCAGTATCTAAACATAATAAAATCCAGCACAGCTATTCGACTCTCCTATCTCGTCACCTTCTTCGCTGGATTCGTAATATCCGCTGCTGGTTTCATCCACCTCGTGGAGAATTCCGGTGACCCACCTCTCTACGCAAATCAGCAGAATTTCACCTACTTCGAGTGCCTCTATCTGACAATAGTGACAATGACAACTGTGGGATATGGTGATTTCACGTGTCAGACGACCACTGGGAGGGCCTTCATGGTGGTATTCATCCTCGGAGCGCTGGCTGTGTTTGCAAATGCTGTTCCAGAAATTGCTGATATCCTTGACTCCCGGACGAAGTATGGGGGCACATATGTGACCAGGCTGGGGAAACCTCATCTCATTCTTTGCGGACACATCACTTTTAATAGTGTCAAAAATTTCCTCTCTGACTTTCTTCATAAAGACCGCGAAGACGTAGTCACTCAAATCGTCATTCTCGACCAAAGAGCGCCGAATTTAGAGATGGAGGGCCTTTTGAAACGATACGAAAATCAGGTCCACTACTTTCAGGTCAGCACTGGCATAATTTAAACCGAATGATTTGCAATTAAAAGTCTGTTGAGACATTTATATGCTCAACATAATTTTATATCTTTTGCAATTACCTAATATGAAGTTAAATTTGAAGATTAAAATTTAAAACATGACACAGTTTGGTAAAGTTTTTTTTCAAATCTATAGAGATTGTAGATTTCATTTTCAAGTTAAATAAGGTCAAAGCAATGTTATTATTTTTGAAATTTATATTCATGTCTTTCTTTATATAATCATTTTCATGAAGTTTGATTTTGTTGAGTAGCTGAATCAAAATGAGAAGCAATATCTATTCAATAGAGTTAATAACAAAGTGAAAAAGTTAATGGAATTGATTCCTGCGTAATTTATTTAGTCCAATCATCGAAGTCAACTTTATTACGCCTTGTAAGGTTTTTGAGGCAACAATTTTGGGCATTTAATCCACGCAGAAATTTGATTGATTCCAATATTTCAGCAGTAAATTAATTTATTTTTTAAATAAATCGGCAAAAAAATTATTGAAAAATTAGTTTTTGTGCAAACTTTTAATTTAAGGAATTAAAGTATTAGGTTGGCAACTAAGTCATTGCCGATTTCAAATAAGAAGGCAAATTCGGAATTTTTGTTTAAAAATATAACTTTATTCAATTAGATATTGGCCCTTCTTGTCGATGACCTTTTTCCATCCTTCTGGCAGAGTAAAAATTCCCCCTTCGTAAAATGTCTGGTCTTTGCTATTAAAAAACTCAATTAGGTGTGATCCGACATCATCCGCGTTGTTAACAATTTTACCATTTAAAGAGTTTTGCATGGAACGAAACAAATGGTAATCCGAAGGCGCAAGGTCAGGGCTATATGGTGGGTGTGACAAAACATCCCAACCCAGTTGCAATAATTTTGCCGAGTAACCAAAGATGTGTGGGGCCTTGCGTTATCATGATGGAAAACAACACCCTTCCGCCGATTTGATAATGCCGGCCGCTTATCTTCAATTGCATCCTTCAGTTTTTCGAGTTGTTCAACATACACATTTGAATTTATCGTTTGGTTCTGCGGCATGAGTTCAAAATACAAAATTCCTTTGTGATCCCCCCACCAGACTGACAGCATAATCTTTTTTTGGTGAATCTCTGCTTTTGATACTGTTTGGGCTAGTTGATCTTGCTTCACCCATGATCTCTTGCGAGTGACATTGTTATAAACTATCCACTTTTCGTCGCCAGTAACTAGGTTCTTCAGAAATGGATCATTCTCATTGCGTTTCAGTAGCGGCGAATCACAGATGCTAATCCGTTGCGTCAAATGAATTTCCTTTAACTGGTGAGGGATCCATAAATCAAGTTTCTTGACATAACCAAGGGTTTTTCATTTTTTTCAATGCATGTATGCGACACATTGAGCAGCTTCTCTGCAATATCTCGTGTTGTGCTGTGACGATTTGAATCGATAATGGCCTTGATATGGGTTTCATCCACTTCGACTGGGCGGCCAGATCGTTGTGAATTTTTCAGTGAAAAATCACCGGAACGAAATCTTTCAAACCAATTTCGACACTGCCTTTCTTTTAAGGCTTCATCTCCATATACGGCACATAACTTCTTTTGTGCTTGCGATGCGTTCTTGCCTTTTCGGAAGTAATACAGTAGAATGTGTCGGAAGTGCACGTCCTGTTTTTTCATTTTTAAATTGGGATAAAAACAAAAATAAAGAACTAAACAAAAAAAATTTTTACTAATTAACCTAGAAGCCCATACAGTAAGAAAAAATATAGGTTAGATGCTCTGGCCACGTTAACAAAACAAAAGAAAGTATAGAGTGAATCCGTCAACAAAAACGGCAATGACTTAGTTGCCCACCCAATATAACAGTCCAAACAATCATTGTTGATCCAATTTCAAACAGTTCTTATTTCATTTTAGAAAGATTAGCTGCTAATATGTATATCTATTTTTAGCAATTAAATTCATTTAAGTTAAAGAAAAGTGCTTCATTCACAAAATTTTTGGCACCGATTTTATTTTTCTGCTGCAAGTAAATGGCAATTTCTGCAAAAATTTATTGCCAAAGTTTCACGTTGTCTTTTTACTTCGCGTAAATTAATGATGTTCAGTCGCATTGATTTTTTGCATTTTCTATTTTCAATCCTTCATTGAGGTGGTTAAGAGAGTTTTGTCGTAGGCAGATGCGTTCGACAATTGTTGGATTATTGCTCCCATTGCGGCAATAAATTTGTATCTTCAATAATAAATTGAAACTTTCCTTCAATTTACCTCCAATATCACCCCAAGTTGAGAAAACTACGAGTGACATGTTTTGCTGAAAACCAAACCGCGCATTTTATTTTTATTAATGTGAAAATAGATTCTTTAATGAGTATATCTAGGTAATTTTCGAAAATATAATCTCGGCAGAAATATTTTGAACAATATTTAATGCTGTTATTCAAAAACTGTGTTACAGCTTAAATAGTTAGTTCTACTATGTCAAAGCATAAAAGGAGTTTAAATGCATAATCATCTCGTTATATTGATTATTCTGTTTCAAATACCATCTTTAACGAACAGTAGAACAATGTGGACTTCAAATTTTGTCTGTTTCTTGCTTGCCATTAAAAAAATAAAAAAAAGTTTTGAAAATGCGCTTTCGATCATATTTTAATGCACAAAAATGTGGGCTGAAGTCTCCTGACTAAATTTTAAGACATTGTGATATAATATGCATTTAAGTTAAAAAAAATAACAGAGATTAAGGCGTGATTGGGGAAAAAATTTCTGATCACTGCCGAACAAAAGAGGAATTTTCTGTGATATTTACCGGAAATCAAGAAGGAATAAGTTGATTTAATTGGGGTTTAGAACTTTTTAAAAGAAAGAATCGGCGTTAGAAAAAAAGGTGAATAACAAATCCGCCAATTCCAGAGGGAGAAGGTAAAAATAAATGTCCAAATCTTTGGTTCCTGAAAGATGAAGTGGACAGCCATACGATGAAGAATGCGAATACCATTTCATTGTTGTTAGATAATCTGTGGTAACAAACTGATAGGTTAATTACACGGAAATTGCTGAATGGTAAGAAGAAAGTGAGCAGTATGCGTGAGTCCGCAATTGAGGCCAATTCGTTCTTTACACTCCTCAGGCTATTTGACTGTTTGCTTTCGTTTCCATACTAATAATCAAAACATGCCCAAGAACAATCGTGGATGCAAAACGTCGAGAAATTAAAAATTTTCAATCTTTAATAACTACTCACAGCTTTGTTACCAGAAGTGAAGATGAATAAATCAAGATCTGAAATGCAACATCATCTTTTCAACTTCTATTTCACGTTGAAGTTCTTTAGGCGCTAATGTGTTGTTCATGATTCAGCTCCGCAAAAGCAAAACTTGGGTGATGGCTTTTCACGGAACCTCCCATCCTCTCCCCCCCCCCCATATAATTGGGGTTGTGTTCATCGATTACACAAAGGAGTCTAGCAGTTGATGGATCAGCCGCGGGTGTGGGGTTATCGATCCACCACTTGTAGTCAATGGCATTGAGCTCTCTTTTAGGATGTAGATGGTGTTAAGTAATTGGAGGAAGAAAATTCTTTGTTGGGTTCATCGCCTTCTGGTTACCAGCCGCCTGAAGCTCTTTGTGTGCTTTGATAAGACCTCTATGTTTTGGCCAATCTCATCTTCTTTGCGGAGATCTATCTTCAAAATATTGAGTAAATGTGGATTATTAATGCTTTCCTGTTTGTGTTAATTGCGAATTCATTGAAATTCAAATTTTAATTCACTGGTTTATCTTATATTAAAGGACAGGTTGAACCAGTCAATGATTAGGATCAAGGAATTGCCACAAATGTGAAAAATGTCGAATTCTTGTACCCCACGTTCTTATTAGATTCACACTTTTGATAATTTGTGTTAATATTGCTTGGACACATGTGCACAATTCATTTGCCAATCATATTTGGGTCTCCTGGCTCAGTCCCCACCCCCCAATCAAGGCAGGACCAGGGTGNGGGGGGGGGGGGGGGGTAGGGGGGTGGGGTGTGAGAGTGGTCATTAGGCTGTCAAAATAACAGTAAAGGTGACAGTACAAGGAGAGGTCCTTTCACTCCCTCAATGCTCCACTTTGGATTTGAATAGGAGGAAAGCTGTCGGTCCCCCTAATTTTGTTTGTTAAAATTGACAAATTTATCATTAAAATTATTATTATTTCAAATGGCAGGCGTTTTGAATATTTACCATTAGCCCTGTAGCTGACTTCGGGGCTTCACAGAGGGAGGAAATCAAAGTGAGAACAATTCGGGAGGAGG